AACACTCACCCAAACCACACAAACAGAATACCCCAAAATACACACACCTGTTTAGTTCAAGCATTGTCCTAAGATGTGCTGAGATTTTCATCTTGACTTCTTTGTGTTGCTCTTGTATGAACTGGACAGGATTATAATATTCAATAGTACTAATTTTTTAATCAGTGAAGGAAGGTTGAGCAGAATGTTGCATGCCATTACCCAGAGTGTGGCATCATTTCTGAATTTGCAAACAACTATTGGCACAGCCAGTTATTGTCAAAGTTCTCATTGGAAGGAAAAAGTATGGAGCTTTCTTAATCCAGGTTTTAAAAATCTGTTAGACCCACATGGAATTCCAGACTTATCCATTGTTAGAATTTCCAAAATCCTATTCTTCACTGTATATCATTACCTGCATTGTATTTGAAAGCCTGTAGAGCTCAGATGTTTGAAAGTAGGAAGACAAGGCAGATATCTGTCCCTTGAATCTAGAACCCAGTGTCTCTGGTCAACTTGCTTTTTCTTTGCTTTTCTGTTTTAGTTTGTATGCAGACTTTTAAAAATACTAACTTTTTGCAATAGTTACCTGTATAAAAATTGTTAGAGGGAGGCCTTGTTACAGCTTGTTTTTGAAGACAGAGAAGATATAGTCTGGCAGGAGATGAAAGTATTAAACAATATTCTGGAAGTTACCATTGTTGGTCAAGGTAAGTGCCTCAGCTTGATTTTGAGAAGATTTTAGGCTGGAGAAGATGAGCCTGTTTGAAGCAGTTTAAAGAGGACACAATATCCAAAGTTCTTGATACTTTTGAGGAGTACCCCAAGAGAGATACTACAGTGGTATTGGAGAGGATTCAGTGCAGCTGTCAAACTTTATACTTCCAGAGAACACAGCTGTCTAGAGAAACCTCTTCTAGAACATTCTCTGACCGGTAACATGAAGGCATTTCTGCCCTTACTCTCCTACCAAGGTCTATTGACAGTAATTGTTGCTCTTCACAGTATGATACATGATACAGATGGACAGAAATGGCTCTGATCCAAGAGAAGCTCTGAGATCCCAACCATAACGTGCCCTCAGGAAAATATACTTGAATAGGGTTTTTCAGAAAAAAAGCTGCCGCCTTTGCCAGCTTTGTGATTTTTTTTATCCTGTGCTTATATGAAGACTTCTTTGAAGAATTCTGTTGGTAGCATAACACCTCTTTAAATGTGCAAGTATGTGTTAATAGATTAAAATTTTCTAAAAAATGTTAAAGCTTCTAAATTTTGCCTATAATGCTGACACAGTGCAATGGTTCTGTACATTCCCAGTTAAGCTCTATGCATTTTATATTCCTTGCCTCTCTGCTTGGGTCCAGCAGAGTGGTGTGAGGAAGGAGCTCATAGACGGCTCAGAAAATCTGCAGCACTTGGGGAGTTATGATGGAAAATGAGAATTTGAATATTTCTCACAGGGCATGGTAAGCATGACTTGTAAAGGACCTTGAGGTGCATTGGTTTTGTCTTTCTAGACCATGTTTTTTGTTTTACAGATTACCTCATTATTGCGCAGGTCATCTTAATTTCCAGATACACTGTCATTACTGAAAAACCCTTGAACGAGGATATGTGATAACATATCCATGACTGTACCATTTGTAGAGCTGAATGGGAGAAATATACTTGTTCAAAATTGTTTCTCCAATTATAAAAGCACATTCCCTAAAGCAAATGCAAATAGTTTCAAACTGAGTTAGAAAGGTCCTTTTCCTGTGTTATCATTTTCCACTAGACTGAACAAATAGGGGAAGATGGTTCTACTCTACAGTATGCTTAAAAACAGTATGTCAAACTAAAATACAAATTAATGCAAGTAAGCTTGAGGGAAAAGGCAAACTTGGGATTCCTTTTATTTCTCCTTTGCTATTAATCATTTTCCTCTACTGCTGCCTAGGAGTGCCTATGTCAGATTCATCAGACAGCGCATGGCAGTGCAGCATTCTGGGCCTTTCTTGTTTTTCAGTAACTGGTTTGCCAACTTTCTTTACATAAATAACATGGAAAGTGGAAGCATTTTCCAATTGTTCACTAATGTGTAAAAATAGTTCTGATTCCAGTGCAGAGCTCTGTGATACATACTGTGTCAATTTGGGGGCTCTCAAGGCTAAAATTAGCATTAGTTTAGACACAAACCCTCTAAGGGCTGAGCTATACTGAAAGCAAACAAAGGCCAACAGAATTTTTGTCCTTTATTCCAATGGAAAATATATTAGTAAACACTTCTTTGCATTATTTCCAATCCAAGAGCCCTCTGCTGATGATACTGCACAACAAGAAATTCAGTTAACTCATTATAAACCAAAGTACATCAGATCCGTTTACTTGGATTTTAGCTGACAAACGTAAAGTAGCAGCCAATATAGAATAATTGGTGAAAAGTAACTTAGGGACACAATTCTGTAAGAAGAGGGAAGCCTTTTTGATCCTTGCTACTTGAAGGGATATTTATTTTGAATCAAACTTCAACCACTTCAGAGAACCTCCAATAAATTCCAGGATTTCCACATGCCTCACTGTACTACCAGTTAAGCCTGGGTCTGATGATAACCAAGTGAAGAGTGATTCACTGTCTTCATTGGTAACATGCAAACACTCAGGCAGAGACTTAGCAGAAGGTCCGTACCACACTCTGTGAAAGGCAGACTATGCAGCACTTAAACGTTCACATGAAAAAGTAAATGTTTTTATATAGTCTGCATAGAACAACTTAAGCCTTAACCATACTTGCATAGCAAAAAAAGGTTTTTAATGATTTCTGCCCTCTGTAGTATAGGAGGGAATGGTTTTAATATTCAGGCACCTTGGGAAATGAGTAGTTGCAGTCTTGGTTGAATAAGTGGACTGTTAGCAGCCATGAACATAAAAATTACTCATTTATAAAATAGCTCATGGTCTCTTAACTCAGACATCATGTACTGAATGGCATTGCACTAGTACAGAGTTTGACTAACTGGGTAGGTAAGTTGCAAATAACACTAAAATACACAGATGTCGTATCAGCTCTTCAAACTTTTTTCCAAATTTTTTATGTATTTTAATAGCTCCATCTGGATTCCATAGCCACTATTACTGTTATAAGTTTTATTATTCCCTTTGCCTCTGCCTGCTGTTTGCATTTGCAAGCTACTTACAAGTGTCCTGGAAACAACTCCTGAACCTTTCTCCAGAGTCTTAAATTTGATACTGTGCATGTGAAAAATGCAGGGAAAGCACATTTTCTCAAACTTGTCTTGCTAAATATGATATGGTACAAATTAAAATAAATGTTGCATACCCTGCTTTCCACATGATGTTCTGGTAATAAATTTCAATGGATGGGCAAGTGTGTTTGCTTATTTCTCCAGTTCTGTCACATCTATGTTGGTTATTTATGCCATGCTACAGAGACTCCTAATAGCTTGATTTGGGTAATAAGAGTCATAAAAAATAATACCGCTGCTGCTTCATCAGACTCTTTGTTGAATATTCTTAAAGGAATATTGTCCATAGTGCAGGACAAGTCTTATAGGATAATAAGGTATTGTTTATGCTGTAAGGTAACTTCATAAAAGTTACTATGATTTTGTGGACTACATTTAGAGGTTAACTTTCTATCCAATGGGATTCATAAGATTGTGTTTTCCAAGGTTAAGTTACAATTATGCTCTAAGTTAGAAAGTCATTGTGTTTTGCAGTGCAATTTTTCTTTTGTTCTAACAGATTTTTATTTTTTTTAAGTCTGGTATTTACTAATTGAAGGAACCACTTTGCAAAATTAGGGTTGTAATATTGAGTACACTGCAGTCAGCTTTCAAAATAAGGCTGACAGATGGTAAAGACATTTTGTGCCCAGCATCCATTAAATTTAATTGGAAGTTGAAAGCTGTATTCACTCAGTGTCTTTAAAAATCTCATACCTCCTTCTGTATTAGACATTCAGTCATTATCTTAGGTGCATGGACCCCGATTCAGGCTTTTAAATGACCCACCTGTTCCCAAGTCAGCATATTGTTTCAACCTTCTATGCCATTATTCTTAAAATATTCAATAAAACTACGTCACAGATGGTAGATCCTATTAACATAAAACTCCTTGTCTCAACATATCCCGTTATGCCGGCAAAAAATAGTGTGATGAGGATATGAAGCAGCCTTTATGTGTACATTTTCAGTTCCTGAAGTTTCCCACCATGAAAGTGAGGAAACTGTTGACATCTTCCAATTTTCGGTGATTTAATAGTGTGGTCTGCATGCTGTGCATCGAACATTCAGTGCAACACACACACACAATTTCAGTTCATCAACACTGAGCTCTCATAGGCTGAAACTTCATACATCAAAATAAGCTCCTCTCCAGTGCACTAGTAAGAAGAGGGTTTTGTTCCTTTCTCTCACGTGCTAATTGCAGCCAGCTGTTAAATATCAAGTCTTAGTGGTATCTGTAGGACACTACTTACTTAGAATTAGAAAAAAGAAGGAAAGAAATACTTGCTTATACAGCGAGAACCACAGTATTGCATTAATCGCAGCCACTGCCTGGATACAGCATTCCCTCTATAGGAACGCAAAAGAAATTAATTGAAAAATATCATAGGTCAATTAGAAAAACATTCCATACTTTCAGTGAAAGTAGGGTTTCTTGACAAGTATTCTGCAAAGAAAAAATCTAATGAACAACCTATCAGGATTAATCCCTGAGCCTATATTTCTCTCTGCACCTCAGCTAACCATTACATTTATACTGCATTAACATTATGTGCGTATTGTGCTTTTCAGAAATGGTCATCAAGACTCGCATCTCATTTTGGCAAACACAATGCAAAAATCAGTCCCTACAAATTCACTAAAAAGTGTTTAGCTACTAATTTTGTTTCAAGTAGCTATTTGAATGACCTTGCACATACCATGCCTTAAATATATTGCTGGTTTTGAAAGGAAGGAATTCAGGCTTCTCTTAGTGTGTGCCTGAAAATGATCAACAGGTTATCTTTCTTTCAGGTGAAGGAGGCCATGCAGAGAATCCATGACCGAGGAAATATAGGAAAACTAATTCTGGATGTGGAGAAAGCACCCACTCCTCTGGTGAGTGCAAAGCACTACATACATGGTGTACAGTCACACAAGTTAAAGCATGGTAGTGACTTTTGGAAACATGTCACTTACAATTTTTTTTTTTACCCTGTTTTCTTCTAAATCCATAGCACCTAAATACAACTAATAATCATAATTTATGTATTTAACCCAAAGTGAAATATAATTGTAATTCCTAGAGTCCCAGCAGTTACTTTTCTATACTGAATGGCTATCTGCGTCTCCAAAAATGTGTCTGCAAGTCTTAGATCAGGGTAAAACTGCCACATCGATTTCTGTCCCTGTGATGGAAAACAATAGGCATTTCACGTAATACAAGATTCCTGTTTTAGTAAGAATAAGTTCATTGAACAGAAAAAGACACAGTCAATATTACTTCAGTGTACAAACTTAGAAGTGCTTTCTGATTCCCATATAAAAGTCGGACTATACCCTTGGTATGAATTTCTTTTACTTTTTTTATAATATATGAAGTATAATATCTAAATACTTCCTTCTAGAAATGTTCTGAAGGAAGGTAATTGTGATGGCGCTCTGGTCCACTGGATTTGGAGCACTTAACATGGTACTGAAACGTTACAGAGAGCAGTAGTAAATGAAAGTCAGGCTCATCCCGAAACGTTCACTGATGATGTAGGAAAGAGCAGTAAAGAAGATAATGAAAAACCGACTTCAAATCAATACTGATGTATAAAGTTTGCTTTCAGACCTGAGGTATCTCCTGTTTCAAAAGAACAGAAAAGAACCTGGAATTACAGTTAAGCTCTTACTCGTGCTTACTCTAAAATTGGCCCCAAATCTCATACAAAATTGCTGCAAGGAAAAGGAAGGTTTTTGGGACCTCACAGATTGAAACTGGGCATTAGCTGAACTGCATCTTAAAACTGTAAACAATAATCCATAACACAACATCAATACATTTATTCCATCTGTTCTCTTGATATTGTATATTCATAATAGCCATTGGTTAGATGGTGAGAACAAATTTGATACACTTTCAAGGAAGGTTGTTAATTAAAAAATACGGGTAACTTCAGAGCATTGCTTTTCTCCATTAAAATCAGGTTGTGTTTGAGATTTTTATTTCCAGCAGAGGCTAGTAATCAAACAGGGGAGGTACAATGTCACTGCATTTCTCTTTAAAAGTAAATGGGTCCCTTGCTTAGTTGGTTTTGAAATAGTTATAAGATAATACAAGAATCTTTTTGTGTCCTAAGAGGGGTTATGCTGGTGTATAAGAGAATTGAGTTATACTAGTATATGCTGTTAAACACTACCACCTGTCCAGTTAACCAGACTCTTGTTCTGCCCCCAGAGACAAGTCAAACTGACAAGGTGAAGTACAGGAGAGTCTTGCATCTTTACACAGCTTGTAATAAATATTCCCATATGAAAAAACATGATGCGTTCCTTAAATGCTATCCTGAACTACAAATTTCTGCAATTGCCTACTACCTGTACAGACATCTTCAATAAAATACGGAAATGCAGTTTCTGCCCACTCCTCTATGATCCAAGATTTGCACTCTGTCATGGGTATATTCTGCCAGCACCTACATATCCACTGCTCTATAAAGTTTCACTATTTTTTATGTAAAACAGTTGCGCTCTGAGTTTTCCTGACACTATGCCTCATACGGGACCAGATACCATCCATTAGCTGGTGTTAAAGAATAGTGTTTCTGGAAGAGCAGATACAGGAGGGGTTGTAAACCAGAGGTCTCGCACATTCTTTAAACTTCCTACACAGCTGTATTTCCTATCTGAGAGCCTTAATACTGGTTTGCTACGAGTGCACAGATCAGAGTCTGCTTGTGCAACTGTCCTACAAAGCAGCTTTCTGTTAGGTAATTCAGCTGTAAGCCGTGAGGGAACAGTTCACAATTTTAGCTGGAAGTGGTGTGGTGCCAAAAAAAGTTTTGCAGACCGAATGTTTATTTTCATGTTGGACCCCTGTCTTCTTTCATTTTTAAAGTCACTTTCTTAAATGAATCAAACTGAAATAAGAATGAATGAAACAACGTGAAAGGTGCTCTGATGCCCTTCATCTTTCGTCCTACAGATGGCCAACGACAGCACAGAGACAAGTGAAGCTGGAGAAGAGGAGGAAGACCATGAAGGGGACAACGAGAATAAAGAGCGCATGCCATTCATCCAGTAACAGCCAGAGGTGGTGGATGCAGAAAGATTGATGAAGTAGAAGGGAACAAGACTGGGAAATCTATTCTGTGCATCAGTGAACAAATGCTGTAGTACAGTGTGTGTTGTATTTGTCTGCAGTCAGCTGAGCTATGAGCTGTTGATCATTGTTGTTTTGAACTCAAGTGCCATTCTCATCCAGTGCAGTATTATGACATTCCTGTGTAATATCCGGTTTCCCTGTAGGAGTCCCATGGATTTTTCTGTTCCAGTTTAAAAGCCTTATTAACTTACTGTGTAATTTTAGATGGGCATCTTTCTCCTGCAAATTCCAACATTTTGCATAAAGTTATTTGGGGGTTTGGGCTTTTTTTGCAAGTTGGAAACAGTAACAAAAAAAAATTCCCCACTTGCTGTCTGGAAGATTCTAGTAACTGGAGGGAGGATTTTAAGTTTGTGGATTTTCAGTGTTAAAATAGTTTCCCTTTTATGAACCACAGATAAAAGTTGCAAAAAAGATAAGTTTTCCTTTTCCTCAGTCATGCTTTATCATTTTATAAGCAATCCTATCTTCATGTTCAAAAATACCTCATTTAGAATTGTGGAATCTGAAATTGTGCAAGAAATCATTAATTGAGAGACTTTGATTCGTATTGTATAATCACATTAGTCATCAGCACCAGTAATTAAACACTTCATTCAGAGTGCCAACTATCATGCTTTCCTGTTGATCTGAGCTATTGCCCTGTATGTTACAGGCAAAGAAAAAGGTCAGTGAGCCACTCTTTTTAGACCCAGAACTTTAATTGCCTGTAGCAATTAGCACTGTTATTGACAGATCAACGTCTTCTGCTAAGGACATACTGACTCATCTGTGTCCGAAATCCAAACCAATTTTAAATTTCATTTTTAAATTGTATTGGTAAGGATCACTCATCAGTATGTGGAAAGAAATTTGTTGACGGAGTTTACTGGTCTGAAATCGCTAATGTGTTGGTCAACTATCAAGCTGGAGCTGAATTCCTACAGAACTTAACCCTGCTAAAAATGAGTTTTAGGCCTTAATTCCATCAGAAATTATGCACAGGGATAACTTTATCTAGGTGAGTAGTTCTGTCAAAAGCTCTGCTCCATATGTACAGTTATGTTTGTAATTATTTGCAGGATCAAGTATTCAAAGACCAGCTAGTCTTATCTACCTCCCACTCGTGGAAACTATAAGTAAACATGACAAAAGTAAATATTTTTTTTCCATGTCTTTCACCTATCCAAGCAGCAGCTACTCAGGTCCTCAATTGTCTTGTTAAAACAATTATTTTAAAATTACTGCAATCACCTACAGTAGAGATGCTAAAGGTATGTCAGAGACCTTGCGTAATGCCATATATCTTTTAATATATTTTTTTCAAAAGAAAGTATTTCTCCAGGCATGGCTAGTTGTTCACCTAAATCTGCAAGTATCCTGTAGTGATAGAAGTTAAAAATTAATACAGAAAAGTGGAGAGGGAGGACTTCACAGGTTCTTCTCAATGTGAAAGGACTTGTGGGTCTGGATGACTTTTATGTGTGGTTTTAGAAGATTCTCTCGTTTTTTCTGTTTGTTTCATCTTGCTGCCTGAGTATTAATGTCCATCTCTTTACACTGTACTCATGAAGTTGCTGTTCTAATATCAGATAATTGTGCAGAATGTTCATTCTGAAGGAGTTTCCCTTGGGTTAAACAAATTCAAAAATAATGAGAAGAAATAACTGTGGAGAAAAATGCCAAAAAAGCTTTTGAAATATTAATTGAACCAGAACTTTAGTTTTCTCTAGATGTTGATACAGAACTTCACTATAGCTGATTTTCTTTTCAGGCGGGATTTGCCTACACTTCCAGTGCCATATCAGGCCCAAACAGGGACTTTATCCACAGAAAAAATACATGTTCAGTGAAAGTTTTCCATGTATTGGGCTTGCCAGTTGGGCTTTTAATAAAGGCCATTAAGTTTTCACGACTCATAAGCTGACAATGGTAGGAAACATGCCCAATTTTGTTTTGCAGTTAGTGTAATGATGTTGTCCTGCAACAAACCTTAACATAACTAGGAATTTTGATTTGACGCCAAAGTGAGCAATATTGCTGGTGACCTTCGAGCTGGCAGTAAAGTGGCATTCTCAAGGCCTTAAATTAGTAGGGCAAGCAGAATAGCAAATCCGTTCTTCTGTTATAAACCGCAGTATGGTTGGCTCTACAGTTAAATTACCCTTCAAGACAAATAAAGATGGGTGATCTTGGTCATGGCCACAGACGCCATAGGGACAACAATCAAATGAGATAATTTTGGCTAGTTCTTTCTGGTTTTGTTAGCAAGGCAAAAATACTCTTCATGCTAATTCATGCCAATTTTAGGGCCATTTTCTGATCAGCAGAATATCAGGTAATTGCAGTGAGTACAAAGGAATACTTCTGGATCTACCCAAGTACAACACAGATGAGCATTACTATCAGCAAGCTAAACTCTGCTCTGTGTTTTACTGGTACTAATATGGCATATATGAAGGTTACTACTGAAATTAATGGAAATGTTTCAGCTATCTGTTCTGGAAGCAGGATTTGTGCTAGCAGAATTTGGCCCACAAGCCCAAAGTACCTTTTAGAATACCACAAACAGTAGTATCGCGTCTGAAATGGTAGAGGTCAAGCTATACAAAATGATGATGCAGAGACTTGTTACTGACCAAGTCTTACTGTAGTAGCAATGAAGGTTTGTGCTTACTACTGACAGTGTTGTTTAAACAACTCTAAGATAATTGGACAGTTTCTTCAAGTGAAACAAATTATTTCTCAATTTGCCTTAAAGGAACTGTGAAAGCTTCTCTTTAACTTAAGCCTGATTGAAGTGAACTGAAACACTGTTTAATTGTATTCGTTGCTTTAGAGCTTTTGTTATATTGTGCCTACAAAGCAAATTATGTTTACATAAAAATATAAATAAAATATTGAGCATAGCATTATCCTTGGCTTACATGTTTTATTCTAATATTACGGTCACGTTAGGGAACTGACTTGGAATTGGTTAAGAGGAAAACTTGAGGTCTTATTTTCCATTTTCGTCACTGAGGGATATACAAAGAATTTTTATTATTATTATTACAGAGTACCTCAAGGTTATTAAAATGGCTAAGTGTGCTTCTTTATAGAACATTAACAATTTAGATATAAAACGTTGAATATTACAGTCTAAGAAATTCAAAACATTATATAAGCACCGTTCATGAAGTGTTCAGGGAAATGTATTTTGATACGGATAGAAACTTGTTTCCAGAATTTTAGCACTCAGATTGCACTGGGAGATGGATTGACACACAAGTTATCCTCAGAGAGACAGTTCCTTTCAGAAATGAACATACTGCAAGGGAATAATCTTACAACAGGATCCAAAACAGCCACCATCAAATTAGCTAATAGAAAGCAGAAGGACATGATTGAATCTAAAATCCCACTCTCCCTGGGTGTTGGTCTTAACTCAGGGCTGCAGGGAGGCTTACACCTTTTCTTTCAAAGAACTGATTATGGTTACCAAACCTTACAGGTTATCTCAAAAGCCTTGTACTTGAGTACATGGCTTTAAAGGTCTCCCTGCATGAAAGGAAGAAATGGTTCAATGAACTTCAGTTTAATATCTAAACAAAGAGGAAATGTTAGCTTTGGTTCATTCCAGTCATGCAGGACATGTTCTAAAGCCTGTAATGTCCCTGGAAAATCTCACTTCAATAGTTACTGCATCTGCTCTATAATCTAAAAGCTCATATGAATACTTGCTGATTGTGAAGAGGAGCAGAGTAAATTTCTGTCTCTGTTTTTAAGTTTTAATAAGCAAATAATGATCAGTGCATCCCTAATCATAGGGTCAGGATAAGGCTGAAAGCAAACAGCCATAGCCTTTTCAAACTCTCTGTGATTATGAATAAAGCTCTGCCTTCTACCAGCTTTCCCACTGGGCCATCTACTTGACTGTCTTACAGTCTAACACACACAGGCTGCTTGCTACCAGGCAAGCAGGGATGCAGCAGGCTGCCTTTGTGTGGCATTTGGCCAGATAAAATGCAAAAATCGTCCTAGGATACTGAGTATCCTTAGGTCTCACCTCATCCTCCATTTTCCTGTTATTTTCTGTGAGCTTAGAGATTAATCCTGGCTGGTTTTTTTTCAGAAAAGATTCTTCTACTATGGCCGTGATTGCCTGCACACAACACGCTTAAAACCTCCAGTTCCTGAAGAGCCATGCAGGAGTTTTTCCCCTGGCAGCACCTAAGTCCCTTGGTGTGAGCTAGTGTTTTGTTCCACTGCAGAAAAAGCCAAAACAATCAACACATTATAATTGCTATCTGCATCAAGGCACCTTTTTTTCCAAGTAATTTGTAACATCTAGGCAAACATCCTAATGTTCTCCTTTGAGAGAGCAGGTTTGAGTATAAATGCAAATGTACCTTTATCTCCTCAGTCTGAGCTGTCATACTGATTGATTGTGCTCAGTTGATCCTAACTAACTAAGCCATTCCTTTCATGTTTACCTCGCCTATCTCTGTCAACTACCTCTGCAGCAAATGGCATGGTTTTCTGAACATTGCCTTGATCTTTGCTATTTGTAACAATGCTGTGTTGGGCACCTCACCACCAGTATGGTGTGTAGAAACTGGAAAGTGTGAGAACAGTGGAGATGATGAAGAGTAAGAAGATGAATGTATGAATAGAAATGAATCATGTATGTCTCTGCCCAAGAGTAACAAGTGAGTAGAATTTGCAGCATGTGATCTGTTGATTTATTTGTATGCTTGAAAGGGAGGCAGTGGGGTGGTTTGTTACAGGTGTGGGGTTTAGTTACTGCCCAGACTGTTACACTCCAGTGTGGCAGCCTCTAAGGCTTTCTGGTCTTGCTCTGTTATTTACCACGTCGCTAGAAACCTGACTCACTTACTTCAGATAAAGTGTTCAGTACTCAAGAGTTCAGTTTAGCTCCTGTCTCTCTGTATGAAGCCGTGCATGTTTACCGGGTTGCAGAACAGCCCATCAGCACGGACCTGGGAGGTAAACGGGGCAGCTGCGCTATTGCTTCCTACCCCAGCCAGCCAGACCTATGCAAAGCTGAAAAAGGGAAGGTTCAAAAGATGCTGCTTTTTACTGTATAAAGGGGTGACTGACACTGACGCTGCTGTTGCTGAAGTCAATATCCTCCTTGGAGCTACTTTAACAGCTCCCCCACCTCTCACCAGGCTTGATATGGGGGTCACAGACTTTCTCTGCAGGGTTTCTAGAGCCCCTGCAATACTCAATAATCATCGTTGTTCTCTGGTAGCGCTTCAGGAAAATTAATTTTTTACCTCCTGAAAAATACTGGGTCATGTCCGCTTTCATCCCCCACAGAAAGTGACAGACAAACTCCTAGTGGACTTAACACAGGTAGATTAACCCTTCACATATGGGAACCGTTCTTCTCTTCTGCAGGCATTATGGGCAAGATGAAAAAAAA